CTCATGAATTATGCCTTCGCATGCCGACTCCAAGTCCGCCAGAAGCTGTCACGTGTTCAAACCCCGGCATGCAATGCCAAGACTTTGTTGTTTCATCGAGTGTTTTGTTTATTTTTGTCCACTTCCGCTTTATTGCACCACTACGTTGTCCTGTGAGTTGTTATCTGCTATTAAATTAGTTAAAGCTGTTGTTTTTCGTTGTTTGTTTTTAGTTGTTGATTTAGTCGGCGACACACGTCAAGCGTATGATTTCAAACTCAAATTCGTAATAATTCTATGTTTGTTATCTGTTGATTTTAAACGCCGAATTTTAAGCGATTTTTTGACAATATCTGAATGAACAGTTTATACGTGTTTGCATGCTTCTACATTAATTCATACCCGTTATTACAGCTACAAGTTCTAGCGTAATCATAGTCCAAATTTAGGTACAAGAAGTATGTCAGCAGATTATGTAAATAAGTTTTATTGATTATTAAAGAATCGATAGTGTTAGATAAACTTGATTGATTAACTATAACGATATCCAAACATGTATCTGGAATCCTCACAATTTTGATTGTAAAAGAATTCGAAAGTACATGTATGTAAAATATATACATATATATATATATTTACAACACAAGGAAAGGTATGGCAATGGTTAAACAAAATCCAAAATTTTCTTAATACACTGTGAAATGTACAAATCCTTGTTGTAGTTAAGCAACGAGGGCAAAATATGAAAAAACGCGAAAATTTCCCAAAGAAACCAATATAAGGTATAAAAGGGACAACAATAGTAAGACCAAGCGTTAAAAATAGATAAGCGTCCCCTACTTCAGCCACGACACCCGCCATGTAAATCTATATCAATCCGAGTTCTCAAGCCCTAAGTCATCCTGCTTTATTCTAAACATGGTCTTGCAAAAATTGTTTTTTTTTTAGTTGTTATCGCCGTCTCTAATTTTTGCCAGTTTTGAATTCATTCGAATAGTGCAACCGTTCAGAATACATACATGTACATGACTCTGTTCTAATTGTATGATAATTACGACATTTAATTGTGGGGATGCTGCACGTTGGATTTTACTCAGACAACACCTAGGTTTCAATATTAAGACCCTTAGCATCAGTGACAAGACCTGGAAGAACGAACAGCTGTATAATACAGTTTAATTCGTTGTTCAGCTCTACTGTATCTAACTCTTAATTATCAAAAGGAGCTATTCACGTGTGTATCTTTTGTTATATATTTTGACTCATTACATATCTACATAAAAATGCAGATGGTCGATGTTTAACAGTATGAAGCCCCATTGCATTAAGTTATAAGCTAATATTCCAGACGAGACAAACAAATGCTTCGTTAGGTATCAGGTATTACTCTCAACAGTGTTTCTTGCTGTGTCTGTTTTTTCATTGCTAGATTAAATGCTCTAATCTTTGAAAGCTGGGAGGAATCTGGTTACCGTTTTTGATAATCAATCATTGTTTACGTCAAATATATCTTCATGTTTCCTCCAACATTTATAAATTATTAAAGGATATTATCACCGCATAGGGTAGGATGAAAACAACAGGAGCGTGATTAGAGGATAGAAAAGAAAGGGGTTTATTAATTTTGCCATAGAGTATGGGGAAAGGGGAAATTGGAAATGAGAAATCGCAAAATTGTGAAAAACAAGTAAACAAACAAGAACCGGAATTTTTATATAAAACATTAGATTTCAGTCCTCCTAAAAGCATCCTCGATACCCTAGAGGCTACACTCACTATCGCTCTCTGCACCCCTGGAGCATGTCAGGATAAAATTGAAGGCAGAAGAGAAGTAATTTGATTGGTCACGAGCGGATTCCGGGAGCAAAAAGACCAACCACAGGCTTTGAAGATTACGAAGGAGCGACACCAACTTCAAAGCCGTTTCAACATACCCTTATGCGACTTAGGGATTCATTTGGGGTACATCTCTTTTGCTTCATCAAGGACACACGCCATGTTAACCTTAGCCGACCCATGTATGTGATGTTACGTTTTAAAATGAGAACAAGGTAAACGACCACAACACGTACATATATATACAGTTTTTTATCTCACAAAGAAATAGAGTGCGGAATACTATCTATTATGACTGTAAAACCTCCCCGTGGTGTGTTTGTCAGTTGTCGATATGTTGACAATAGACCCCAGCGTATTGAGCCAACTACGACATATACTTAAAAACTACATAGGTGTGGAATGCAAGGTGTTTATCATACAACTTGGTCGAAAGCTTTCGACTTTGGTTTCGTTGTGGGAATGATATCGATGTAACAGAGATTTATGCAAAGTGAGAGATAAAGATATTGACCTTTTACAAATTGACATGAGAGCTGGGCATTTTTATATGTTGAGTTTCCTTTAACCATTTCTCCTCCCACTCCTCCCTCCTCCCTCTCACATCCTCCTTCTCACATCATCTTTCTCACATCATCTCTCTCTCTTACTCTGCTATGAATCCTTCTCACTCCTCCAAAACCCCTCTTTCTCTTTCCTAATCCAATCCCATTCTTTCCACATAATTTTCCTCGCCCTCTCCCTCTTCCATACTCTTTCTTTCTGTGCATGTTAAGACCTCATCAAGTATTACAAGTATAAATGAAGTTTGTAGAGGGAAATCGGCTATATTTTAAAAACAAAGACCAAGCTAAATAATATACAGCACACTTCTTAATGTCTTCGAGTATTGGGCTGAGATGTCACAAAATGGTGAATAATCTTAAGTAAAGCGTTTGTCATGATCGTCAATCGTCGCTTGTTCAAATAATCACAGCGTTTCAAACAACGCAGGTTGATGAAAACTACAGGGAAGTATGTCGGTCATCATAATGATTATATTTTTTTCTCAACACGAAGTCATATTTGATGCTCGTTAGATTGCCCGGTGGTTTCCTTGTTTACTTACCAAGATGGTCTTGGCGGATGTCGTCGATGAAGCAGAAGACATTCGATCTTTAGGGACACCTGGTCTTGTCCTCTGTGTACTTTTTCAGGAGTCTCCGTGTAAATCTTTTTTATTCGTATGTTTCCCAAATTTTATGGAATTTGGGTTGGAATTAGAATTATGTTGGCATGTTGGTATTTACATTTTCACTTCGGAATATGGTATAGAAGCTAATGTGGTAGTACAGCGAAGTGGGAATGGACTGGCATTATTTCTTCCATATCAATTAATTCCCTTACGTAGTCAAAAACAAATTCATCAAATAGTTTACAGATGAATCAGGGGTGTCTAAAAACTGTCAATCTGCAGTACGTTCAAACGAATTATAAGCGAATACGGACGATATGGTAGACTGGAAGAAAACCTGAAAATACCACTGAACACCAAGTAACGGAAACATACAGTAGGTCAAAACCAATTTACACAACATCCATCCTTAAAACAGATGTATATCACGGACATAGACATATTAAGTATGTACATGTATGTTCTGAAAGCGAAAAAACAAGTTGTTGAAAAATCAGCAGAGAAGAATCTTGGAGCTAAATTTAACAACAAACTATATATAATTTAGCCATCACACCAGTAATTCTGGTAACAAAGTCAGTATGACATTTGTTTTCATGGACAAAATTATTGTCTTAGTCCTCTGTAAAAATTTAATGCGACAAAGCAAAAAAAAAATGACCATCTTAAGCGTTACCATCCCTGGGGGGAAATCGGATTGCATCAAAACGGATCGTGCCCATCAAAGACGCAGAAAGGCTAATGAAGGCGTCACGTTGTTCAATTCCTCAAATTAAACTTTATCCGATTTTTAAACTCATTCAGATCGTGGAATTTGAAAAATAAAAACAACAAAAGAGAAACTAGACGAATATATTATGGATACTGTTCGTGACGGCCACTGAATTACTCGGTAGATAAGTACGAACACATACATCATAGATAACTGATGAGATAAAACAAAACAACGCGTTCATTTTGTAGACATCCATTAATATAGATTTTAATTGATTTTTTTTCAGTTCTGGTTGACTCACTCCTCGGATTTCATCAGTCGACAAATAATAAATATGTAAAAGCTGAGAGTACAGGTCGCCTTACTAGCCTCCGCTAGTAGGAAGTTCCCTTTAGTCGAGCGGTGGAGTGTCCAGCTAGGACCCGAGGGTCGCTAGTTCAAATCCCACAGGTGGAGGAATGTTTTTCATTCCGCCTTCCTATTGCAAATTATAATAATATTTATGAGCGAGAGTTAACAGTTAGATATCAAATATACAAAATAAGATATATGTTTTGATAAATGTGATATATCATTAAAAAAATATTTGATGATAAATGTTAAGTATCAAATAAGACAGGGACGTAGAATACTATATTATACTTACCTGAATAAGATATAAATTATGCATCGAATATTTAGTACAATTTGTAAATGAAAAGCCTGGTGTAATCAGGGACGTTTATACATGTGTTATATATGTCTCTAATTTGATAAATTAGACATCAAACATAATTTGTTTAAGTACAGAGTCATCGTCGCTCCGTGAATTTGCCATAATTGTTCATCAGTCCATGATTCGTATAGCCGTATAAAATTCATTCTGTACGAAAATAATAATTTTGTAATAATTATACCATCGGTTAGGTTATTCCGAAATGGTCCTGAGCACATATCTCCTTTCGAGTTTATTTTTATCTTGATCGTGCGATCGTTGAGAGATACTTTATTATTAGTAATAGGACCGTTCTAACTACGGTATTATGCGCGCGGTAAGTATATTAACTACGGTAGTAGCACTGGAACTCTTCTTTGTCGTGAAACAGGAAATCGCAATTCGAGCACTTGTTGTTACTGTATGAAAACTAAAATAAAGTTCGTTATATTGTATTAAAATATCATTTGAAACATACTTAAATAAAAAGAAAAATATCTTATTAAATATAAACGTTAATTGACGTCAAACAGTTGATATCATATGTTCTATTTGAAAGCATTATGTCGAACATTAATTACGTAAAATGAACTGCTCCCAAAATGGCGCCGACTGGTGGTTTGATAATGACGTGGATTGTGTTTTTATTGAACATCGGTGTTTCCATTTGTTGGGATAACGACGATTTGGAATTATTCGATCTAGTTGAAGAAGTGAACCAAAATTTCTATGATGTTTTGGGTGTGGAAAGGGTAAATAGATACAATAATCAGTAATCACCCAGCCGGCTACTCATCTACGACATCAGCTGGTGATCGTGCACTGTCGGCCTATTTAGATCATATGTATAACTAGTATACTTCTATACCACATAGACGCATTGTCGAGATGATCTAGGCCATATTAGCTACTGAGTTGTGATTTAAAAGAGATGTGTATTCTGGTACTTTCTGACTGCCTGGTTCTACCCTACCCCTCTCTCCCATTTTATATCATATTTAGGTCCCTTTATTATGTAATCGACTACTGTTGTTTATGTACATGTGCATTCTATATGCAAATTTTGAAGCTGGTAATAGATAAATAGAAATACGAATACGATAAGAAATGTCCTCAGACCAAAGGCACTAATTAAGCTCACTGATGGAGAAAATATATGTATATACATGTACACCTATAACACAACGTCAATGAATTCATGAGAAATACTTTAAATACACACAGAAAACAGTAACAGTTTTCATTACACTTAATCTGCATCACCAAAATGTGGTAAAGATAGCGAAGGACACAATCCCACTTCTACATCAAAGTCTAAAGATGCAAGGGACAGTTCAAACACCACAAATCATTCTGATCAAGCAAAAGCAACCAGATCTGAAGAAGATTCAAACAAAAGCAAATTTAAAGTTTGATCATCCTGAAGAACACACTTCCACAGCAGGGCTCTCACACCCCATTTCTAAATTTGGAAAAAAAGATGGAAAAAAAAGATAATATTTTGCATTGGGAATGGGGTCGAATATCGGCCCCAAATCTTGCAGATCGAGAGCCCTGCACAGATCAAACTGTGGAGACAGGTGATGCAGAACATGACATGATATATATGAAGGGAAATGCCTAATATTAAAGCACAGGAAAAGTATGGTGAAAAGTAATAGTGACATGTATTGCAGAAACAAGAATGTAATTTATGTCATTCAATGCCCAACTTGTAAAGAACACTGGCCAGACAGGAAATGCATTAAGTAAGACAGTTTGAATACATTAACTTCAAATATGTTCACCGGAAAGGCGTAAAATTTCATTCTAGACACATATGGAAAAGGAACTTTCTCCATGTTCCCTTTTTACAGAGTGACTGATACCGGTATCACAAAAAAAAAAAAAAAATTGAAAGGCCAATATGTTTGTTAAATTGTTCATAATGTTACTAAATGGTAATAGGAATGAGTAATGGAAAACATCTTGCCCGCACTGGGGCTCAAGCTACATGTAGAAGCCCCTTGTTCTTTAGCCAGACATTCTACCAATTGACTAAAAGGAAATTCACATTGCCTGAGGCTAGTAAGATGACCTGTACTTTAAACGTTACTTTACTCCTTCCTTCACAAAATCTTTGACCTTGAAGACAACAGCCCAGTTTCAATGTCTCCAAGGAATCATCTTGTGTTTCCTTATCTTCTACCCTTTGAGTGATCGATAGCACCAAATACAACCTGCCTCCACCACGGTTCAGAATGATTTCCCATATTGGGTGTCAATGTGAAAGAACACAGAAAATACACATTGCTGTTGAGTGCCCAGACCAGGAATCGAAGCTGAATCATTTGTGATATTAGACCAACTCTACCAACTGAGCCAAAGAAGCATGCTCAGTCAGCTGTGTGACAGAGATTGTATATAACACTTTATATGAGCCACAACAACATGTCAACATGTTTACATATACATTGTTAATTCAATGCATATTATTATAATTGCAAAACTGACCACTACAAGTGCACTGATGCACATGAAGTTACACAGTGATAATCATTTGCCAGCCGCCTGACCAGGATTTTAGAACATGGTTCAGAAATGTTATTAAGATTTCATGAACAAAGAATTTGCAAACAAGTGATTTTCATGATTCCATCATAAATGATATGCACAGTGTGAGTTGTTTTTGTTGTACTATTTACCTATATACATCAGTAAAGTGTGTCTTTGTTTATTACAGGACTGTACAAGTAGTGACATCCGCAGAGCCTACCGTAGACTATCATTGCAGCTCCATCCAGACAAAAATAAGGAAGAAAATGCTGAAACAAAATTCAGACAGGTGCAGAAAAGGATAATTTTTCTTTCATAATAAAGCTGACTTATAATGATCAAGGATACAGGCAGTATTATTGTGCTGGATGTTATACTTTAATTATGCATGTACAGAGAACTCCAGAATATCCTGCCTTCAGAATGGTGATGAAACTGAGGAGTCAAGAAGTCATATATGCATAAATGTAATTGATAAAATGCATTTTTTTAATGTGCTTAGAAAAAAAGATTTCTGTAAATTAATCTATACTCTGTATATATATTAAAGAAAAATGCAAATTAAAGAGAAAATAGATAAATATCATAGACAATATTCTCTAAATATATCCCTTAATTGTGTCAATTACATGTTTTGTGATTCTGGAAAGATGACTGACATGCTTTCTACTTGGTAGCTTGTAGCAGTTTATGAAACACTGAAAGATGAAGACAAAAGGAAACGGTAAGTAATTTATGTAAAAGTAAAATGTGTATTCTGGTGTGCTTGATACAAGCATATGTAAAAGGTTTGAAAGCGAAAGGAACATTTTTTAAAGAAATGTTATTTGATATTGTTTAGATGTAAAATATTTACTTATATAAGCGCATTAGGTTTTTTATTGCTTGTATGCAAAAACACCAAATATACACATGATTATGATGAAACAGAATCAGTGTGAAACTAAACTTTGACCACATCTTCATTTGCATTACTACTATATTATAGCTCCATAATTTTAAATAATCCATTGCTTTATATTTACATTGTTTTGTGCAAATTATATTTATAATGTGTTTTTTGTGTAGCTACAATGTACAATGTATTTTAGAAAAAGATAATGTTATTTTGTAAATATTGATTGATTGATTCCTGAAGCATTATTTACAAACAGAAAATCTGGGTTTAGAATTATTGATATAGATTGTATTTCATTTACATAATGAATAACTGATAACTGGATTCAAGGACAATTAATGATGATTTAATAATATCATGTAAATATTTCTCCATTTGGAAATCTTGTAATCTAGTATTTCTAGACACATAATGTATGTCAAGATTTGTTTTCAAAATGTTATTTTTTGTTTTACAAAATTCTTTATAGATATGAACTTGTGCTGGAGAATGGTCTGCCTGACTGGAGACAACCAGTCTTCTACTACCGACGGGTGCGCAAGCTTGGAATGCTGGAGTTACTGGCCTTTTTGTGTAGCATCTTAACCCTAGGCCAATACCTTGTCCTCTGGTCTATATTCCTTGAGAAAAAGTTTTCCATGGTAAGGGTCATCAGTGGAAACATGATTGCTTTATTTCATTATAGATATTTATCTCATATTTGTCTGGTTTCTGTAAATAATGATTTATACAAGTGCTTAATTCCAACATACTGCCATAAATCAGTGTGCTGTAGGTACACACATTACACAGGATTTTAACAGTAAACAAATATCTTCCTAATATTAAATTCTTTATGTTATTATTGTGTGAATATTGAAAAAAAATCTCCTTTTCAACATATTGAAATTTGTTTTGGTCTAATGCATATTTTTGATTTTTTTTTTATATTTTTCACCTGAAAAGGAAGAAGACCACGAAACTCGAAGGAAAAAAATTGAGAAGAAATTACGGAAAAACAAGCAGGAACTGGAGGACCAGTTTGATGAACTTCAGGAGGAAATGGATTCCTTACCCAGACCAAAAGTCTCTGACCTCTGGCCAATCCGACTGGTCAAGTGGATTGTCCATTTCACTATCAACCTTCCTACCACAGTCAGAGAGACAGCTGTAACTCTCCGTGAGCTGATGCAGAAAAGAAACGCAGTTGTGGAAGATGAAGAAAATGAAGATGAGGATGCAGAAGAAGGTCTGATGGAATGAAAAGATTTTTAGACTCTCTCACTTCAAACATATTTATGAGAAAAGAAATCTAGTTCAACAGAATCTGAGAAAATCATTCTCCGTAAGAACCTGTCTTATCTGACAATGTAAAGGATCAAATTATTTTGCTTGGCTTAGGCAAGGTATCATAATACACAGGTTTGATTTTGTTTGCTAAGTAACTGCTTGTGTACTTGATACAAAAGTGGGCTTTAGAAAATTTGGGACAGAAATCGCTATGTCATAAGGAGAAATGAAGATAAGATTCATCTTTATCAAAACATCTTCACTGATAATACTTATAAATCACAATTTGATTGACAGATGCAGCTAGAAAGACAAAGAAAAAAGCAAGATCAGATTTTGTGGACATTGTGCCAGTTTTATGTACTGATGCTGCCCCAGTGGTTTACACTGAGATGTTAAAGCCTAGTACAACAGAGGAAACAAGTCCTGACTCTGTTCGGGTAAGTACATTATACGCATAATAAAATCGTTATCTAGAAGAGTCATATTGAACCTGATGTTAAAACCATTCCTTCTTTTTTTATTGATGCCCGAAATTTTGATGATTGACAAAGAACTGTTGTGAAATTCAAATTGAATGTATATTTTTATTCAGTTATATGTGGGGTTTTTTTTAACAATTTTCATTATATATGCAGTATATACAGAGAGGTTCTATGAAATTTGAATGTTTTCAATTAAATGCCTTCTTGCAACACACTTCTCTTGAAATTTATATAAGGGACTGCAATATCTCATTTGGTTTAAGCGTTGGTTAACGACATCAGGTGAATATCTGAGGTGTGTTGTTTCATACTCCATATCCGATGCAGCTTAAGTTCTCAGGAAGCTAGGAAATGGACTGATTTGTGCTATTGTGTCCTTGGGTAAAACACCTTACCCTCATTACTATGGATGGCGAGAGATGGACTCCCGTATGTTGTTCAGTGAAGTACCCACCATTTATTACAAGTAAACCCCACCTCATGATGACACTGGTTTTTCATGGTGTGATAAAACCAGCAAAAAATCACTTACAATATACTCATTCATTGAACAGCTCTTTTATTGAGGAGCAATATAACCTTAGATTTTAATTAATTGTTATAAAGGTAAGAGCTACTATTTAATCAACTTCATAGCAATTATATATCGTCAAGCATTTTACAGAATTGCACTTTCTATTTTTTAAATAATAAGATAAAAATGTATAATTTAAAAATCTGTATAAGTCTTGGAACTGTCTTCATACATTTTTAATATTATGAAATGCTTTGAAGTTAATGTGTTTTATAGGAAACAATCATGTACACTATCAATATAAAAGCTAGCTACATTTGTAACATGTACATGGTCATTCTGTCAGATCTAGAGAAAAATTTATAAAACATGCAGAAGGGAAAACACTACAATATTTAAGTGTCACAAAATATTGAAATTAACACTGTTTATGTTACTAACAAAGTCATTGTTGCTCTTGACTTGCCAGAGTTAGAAATTACAGTAAAAAAAACCCAACACAATTTTACACAGACTTATACAGAAAATATCACCTGTTTGATCCATGCTTTAATACATTTCTACTTCTCCTGGATGTAACTTCTATGACAATTACCATAAGTGATAAGTGTTATATCAGATCAGTGTCTGGAGTAGAATAAAAAGGTCTCTGTAAGCTCCTTGTTAATATGAATGTTAGTTCCCAAAGATTTTGATATCGGAAGCAAACAGTGCTAGCTATATCATGTAGTAATTATTGACCATTTCAGGCTGGTGAATGGACAGATGAAGAACTGGCGCAGTTGTCCAAGGCAATGACAAAGTACCCTGGAGGGTCGGTCAACAGATGGGAGAAGGTTGCCAGTGTTGTTAACAGAACGGTACCAGAGGTATGACCTTTGTGATAAAGAATTGTTAGTTTTCTCTAATATAGCTGTTCATTTAAACTACCAGCAGACTTACTAAATCTATCAAACCTAGGTTTTGTTGCATTATTAGTCTAAGCTGACTCCACAGGAACTTCTGGGGTAAACGATTTTTGATATTCATTGCATTTCCCCCTAGTTGCTCTGACTTCTGTTGAAAAAATCTGCTTGTATAGGTGAAACAGATTTATGTCCTTCATATTCTTGATGACATCCTCTGAGATAGATCTGTTTAACGAAAGTTACTTCCCCTTGTACACATATTTTGTGAGTGCGTAATTGTTTCACTCTCATTTTTTTGAGAAGGCTCTCTTCATTGCCATATACATGTATATTTGCAGCTGAAAGTTGTTAATTAGGAGAAGAAAGCTTGCTTTTTGTTTATTCATCTCACTACATTTTTTAAAAGAATTTCTTTGTTGAAAATTATTACCGTAACTTCATTTCTTTAACAACAGTTAAGAAATAAGTGATACACATATACTAGTATCAAATTTTATTAATCACCATTTGTTAGCCAAGATGTAGAGAGGGAAGAGACAGGAGGTTTCAAAGAAATTCCACCCGGTCAAGCAGGTGACCTTGGTGTGGACTTTCAAAATGGGAATCACAACCTAGTTATCTATAATTATGTACATGGATGGCAAGTCCAATCAACAATATGCAGTAAATCTTCACTCAATTTGAACAAAATTAATTAGAAATAATTTAATCTGATCAAATGATACAAAATTATGCTTGTTAAAACAAATTAGAGTTCAAACTATCAGTGTTAACTTAGTCCAAAATTAGAACGAAGTGTCTTAAAGTGTCCAAGCATTTTAAACACTTACAGAACTGGAATACATGTTAATTAACTGTTAAGAAATCACAGGGTTTATTTTGGTCTTCATCTGGTTGGATACCGTGACGAAGAAACAAGCCTGTGAAAAGCACATTTTCTGAAGTTTGTGCTGACATATTAGTGTGTGGAGTGTGGATTGAGACTTAATATGACTACAGATTAATGTTTGTTAAAATCTTTATGAATCTTACAATTATTGAGATAGTCATGACGTGATTGTCTTATCAAAATGTGAAGTAAAACAATATCATTATTAAACAAAAAACACATGCTGCCATCCAGTAGTCCATATAACGGTGGCTTAATTAGCTTGTAATACAGAGTTGGGGCCTTAAGTTGTGCCAGCTAGCGTGAGCACAGTGTTATGGAAAGATGTGATTGAAGTCACACTACATCAAAGCTATTTAAGGGACATGTATGGGTATAACTTAATGCTATCAATTGCTTAGGATGGTCATTTACAGCCTGCCACCGACAGGCTAATGATGATGTGAAAAGTGACCACATGGAGTGATTATTGTGATGCCTATGCCTTTCAGTAGTTATACATGCAAATATTTGCAGATTCGTGATATATTCAAACTATTCGAAATGTAAGTGAAACAGACTAGAAATGGTTCAAACCATCACTAGATAGAACATTATTGTTTTTATTGAAAAAATCAAGTGTTTGAACTACCGGATTATTTGAACTGAGAGGAGGTTTACCATATACATTACACTATCTGAAAATACTTAAGTTTTTGATGCTGTAACAATATTTTATACTTTCTTGTTTCAGGTGATAGCCAAATCAAAAACACTCAAGACATCCTACGTCAACAAGCTGGATGCATCTTTACAAAGTATTTGTTTTATTTTTTCATACGTAATGGTAAAATAATTCATCCAATCAAATTTGCTCTATTATGAAAAGTCAACAAAACAGTCACTTTGTTCGTTAGTAATTTGAATTTTGATGATGGAATTAAGACAATTTGATAAGATATTACTATTGGAAGTTTTTGGAGCCATATGCAACTCTACAATTCAATGTAATGCTGATTTTGTTCTGATCATAAGTAAGATCTTCAGTCAAACCATGCTTTGTTATACTTCTGAATAATTTTGTCAATTCCGTAAAATAATTTATTATTTAAAGGCCTTTATGTATACTAAGATTTATTTGGGGCCACATTAACAAAGTGCTTAAGGCATCTGACTGTCTTTGTCACTAGCCCTCCACCTCTGGGTCACAGGTTCAAGACCTATGTGGGGCAGTCACCAGGTACAGGCTGCAAGTCGGTCGTTTTTCTGCAGGAACTCTGGCTTTCCCACACCACCTAAACCTGGCACATCCTTAAATCACCCTGGCTGTTAATATGACATAAGGCAACAATATAGATATATAGATTTGGAGAGTATTTTTCACTTTCTGTTGTAATTATTTTGACTAAGTCTGTTAAGGTGTGTAACTATTTCATTTTAAAGGCGGAGGTTTAAAGGGAGGTAAGAAGTCACAAGTGATAACAGAGGAAATGATTTCACACAAATCTGATTATGAGGGAAAGGTGAACGAAGATATGAATGGAGAAGTCAAAAGTGGGGATGTACGCAGGCGTCACAAACCCAAACCAAAGAAGACAGCAGAAAGGACATTATTAGCTGCTGCAGAATCTAAAACAGAGGAAGGAAAGCCAAATATAGTGCAACCAGTTGAGTCAGCTACAACTGGTGTAAATTCTGTGACTTCAAAGAGTACTGATGATGCTGATCAGTGGAATAAAAACCAACAGACTATTTTAGAGTGGAATTTACGACAGTACCCTAAAGGTACAGATCAAAGATGGGAAAAAATAGCTCAGCAGATTCCTGGCAAAACAAAAGTAAGTTACCTGTGGAGATGTCTTTCTATGAAATCTTTGATAAAGATTCAAAATTTCAACCTTTATATTCATTTCATAGAAACTTCCTCATCTGATGGAAGGAAACTGTGATTAAAATTACAGGAATTTTGTTTGACAGTTTAAGTGTTCTCTTTCCCTTTTTGGAAATTACATTATGTTTGAATAGGCCCCAATGTCAGATTATTTGATGATGAGATTTAATCAGCTCACATAAGTTACATAGAACATAGTGTATTTCAGATAAGATACAATAAAATTTCATTGTAAAATTTACTAATAAAATCTATTCTTTTTCAGGAGGACTGTATATTAAGGTACAAGTACTTAGCTGATCTAGTCAAGAAGAAGAAAGAGTTATCACAGGGACAATCCAACACCAGCTGATGTTTACTCCTATGTTAATTAGTGTCATCAGAATGTAAACTAAGGTTGTTTAAGGGCTAAGATTGTAGAACAAGACTTCACTAACAGGAAGGAGGAATCTGTATGACTCTTAGTTAGAAGTGAACGCATGTTTGTAAAGACATAATTAGGGTAGAAAAGTAAGTTTTTGGGGCCATTCATTCATATCATAGATGACAGAAAGGGGATATTGAGAGTGTACATGTATATAACTATGGAATGATTCAGTGTATTATGCAGACACTGGATTATTTGTTTGTATATGTGTTATATAATCCTGTATAGATAAAAATCAATATGCAGTATCACTCTTCAGAAGAATGGATTAAGTCCACCCTGACCAAAGTTTGGAGAACAAAATATATACTTAATTGTTTTCCGTCTCTGTCCATAACAGCATTGTACTATGCATTAACATCACTACTTTATAAAATACATTCATAACAATATATAAAGTTTGAAACCAATAAATTTGTGTAGTGTATATATTGTGTAGTAACACTTAACACTGAATCGGTGTTACGAATGTTAAGAGTTACGGGCCTTGGTCATGTGGAGGCTCCAGCATACAAAATGGACCGGCTGTAAAAGGACTTGATTGAACTGAAAATCTTTAATTTGCCTTTTGTTAAATCTGAAGTCAAATATGAAATCTAACACCTAGATCTTCTCTCTTTAGTGTCACTTCTTCGTGGAAACATCATCGTTAGTTTGCCAATCAAGAAATGTCTTTTTATTGTAGTGATTAATGTGTATGCAGACGAAGTCCTTATTGAGAGTAGTTTATTTCTCTTCACCATGCACTGAACAAAAAAGATTCAGGACAATCTCGACTTTTATGAGAATTTACACGTTATGATGTTATACTGGGAAAGATAATTGGTATGTGTGTCCCAGAAGTAAGGTACTAATTCAAATTCAAGTTTTCATTAACACGTAAATTTGAAGAGAAAGTTAGACAGAAAAAAATGATTTTGTACCTCTTCAATCAGATACGAAAATGCATGCATGTTTCATGTTTCAGTATGCCTGAAAAAAAAACAGTAACATTTGTGCTTGAATTTAATATACATTTGTCATAGAATGAAACCCCTGTGTTTGTCAAGGTAAATTTCAGTATTGTTTTAGTAATATAAAAAATCTTAGTTATCAATTATTTATGATGTGAATAATCATGGTGAGACATGTTTATTATTTATCCTTCTTTTCAGACGATTTGCTTCAGTTCTTTAATTCTGACTTTTGCAACAATTTTAGCATTTACTTTTGTTTGTTCGTGTTGTTTTTTTCCCTGTTTTCCCAGCATTTACGAAAAGTTGAATATTTTAGAATTTTACCTAACTGCTAATACACTTTCATCATATCTCAAATTTCCTTGGGTACAGCTATTTTTCTAGGTTTATCTGCCAGTTTTGAACACATTGATAGGAAGATGTTATATTTGTAAATGATAACATATTGTCTGCATACACTTATATAAATATTAATACAAAGAAAATGAAAAATTTATAAAAAAGGATTTCCATAGACAGAATTTATAATAAGTTGTTTTTTATAATTATTCTATGCTTCAAACATTTATAAAATGTTATTAATTTTAATCAAGGCTTTCTATTGAAGGCAAAATTTTCAAAAGTCAAAAAAAAAATTTGATTTACACTTGAGATAGCAAAAAGTATCTTTCACATGGATACAATCTTTTAAAGCCAGCCAGAATCACCTCTCAAATGAATACAACTTTTTAAAGCAAACCAGAATCATCTTTTAAGTTGATATAACCCATTAAAGCCAAATACCACAGTCAAAGTTATGTTTGCGAAGATGTACCACATTCTGCAGTCAAGAGTTAACTACCTGCGTAATCAAGCCATTGTGACTTTTTGCCTATTCATGTTTATAAATAGCTTTAATTAAACTGTCAAATTTTGTGTACATATGTAATAAATTGTTATTTTATTATGCTTGACTTTGAGGAATGGTTTCAAACGATTTCCGTCACATTTCCGTGATAGATAAATCATTCTGCTGTTAATGTGTTGTCATTTTAAGGAAATGAATAAGACATTTTCCACAACTTCTGTATTTTACTGAAATTATTTTAATTTATAAAGGGTCCTGGATTCTATCAATAGCGGTGGCATTGCCATACACCTAACTGTAGTTGACAAATGAAACAAAAATATTGCTTAAATGTTTTTTTTTTCTTTATCTAGTCATATATGTAATTGGTTTTTAAAGCACATTTCAGACAGTAAATATCATTATTTAAAATACCAAATGAATTTTTAAAAATCCTATAATTTGTATTTTTCATTATTATTAAGTAGTAATTCTGTTTATATTTGGATAGTTAAAGGCTTAATATGTTTACCTTTTTCAAAAGGTAAAAAAATCAGGTTGTATTATTATAATTTTTTAGTGTGACAAAGCTAAGATTTTTCATTTGGTCTAGTATTAGACATAATTGGAGTCATTTAATTATTATCATAAACTTCAAGGTCCTGTCATTTTATTGTTAATTTATTGGCCAGTAACTGTATTTTTATTAATAACTTTTTGCTCTCAAGAACTATTTTACAATACAAGCTCAAATGATTATGTTTTTGTTTACAAAGAGTTGATTTGGGGAGTTTGGGACTTTTCTTTTTTTTTTCTTAAGTTAGGTTTCTAACTTTTGCTAGATATGTTTTCTTGGTACATTGAAAGTAAAAGCGAATTAAAGTAAAGTCTGGCTTCAGTGTTCTCACCGAACTGGAGACTAGTGTGTCTGACGACTTTTTTAACGCCAAAAGTCCATTCACTTGACGTCAGTTTGTACTGAAGTTGCCTCCCTTCGTCTATAAATACCAGAAAGGTCTCCACGAGTCTTTTTTCTCACAATGTTAATTCACTAAATAAAAAGCAAAATAATCTGTATTATTTAACTAGTGAGTCTTGTTATTTCCTTGAAAGTATGGTCTAGCAGAGTGCGTAAAATCTTAGTTTTGAACCGCCGGGTTCTCAGTCGAGACTGGGCTTTATTCTTCCCGGTACTTGTAGTGACAAATATTTACAATGACCCGGATAGTTTGTTTTCGAGGAACTCCATGTATATCTTTCTTTTTATCATATTTTTTGCTCATATGTTGAACTTCAATATTATAACACAATTTTTTGAAAATTGGAAAATACAACAGATTTGTTATTTCCTTGATTCAACCTTGCAAACTGAGCATCACAATAACTATATGTTTGCCATGTTGAGATGGGTCATCGAGCTCCGTCCTTCGCTTATAGAAAGTCTACTCTACACGTATCTGGTTACATGTAAGATGTTATTTATAGCAGATGATCAGTGCTTTTAAAACATAAAGCTCATTAAAATAATTGTTAAAAATATCATTCTGTGATTGATATACATTCATTCGCATTAGAGGATGTAATATGATCTAGAAAAATGTACTTATCAATACAGAACCTTGGAGTATGCCTACTCCCGTGATGATTCCTTGACATTAAAATCATATTTAAGTAAAAAAAGAAAAGAAAATGAAAAAAACTGCTCTTTCTTAAACATGTAAGATTATCAAATGTTTGTACGTTCAAGCCCTAAAGTTGCGTCTTTTTAAATAAGTATCGTAAACATCATTTCTTTTATATCAAAATTTAGATTTAAATGTACAAATATAATATATATTTATTTATATTTAAGTTTGGCCAAAACCGGGACTAATTTTCATTATTTCTTATTTTATAGAAGCCCATCCATTGGTCATGGAATAAATCCATTTACACATACGAGTAAATGGTGACGCAGGAATCCTAATACGTTTTCTAAATTTAATTTGCACTCAATTTTCTCCGAAATTCAGCAAACTCAATTGGATTGTGTCGATACCACCACATGTTCAAAGAGAAATGTTATCCATGCTTTATAGAGATATCACAGCTTCTAGGCCTGTTAACGATTTCGTTATAGTAATGATAATAATAGCTTTTAGCCGTCTGAAATAAGACCGACTTGTCTGTCCTTGTTTTGGGTCTGGTGTATCTGAAGCAGCTTGGAAGTATAAGGATTACCTATACACAAGGCCTAACTTGGACCAATATGCAGCGGTCAGTTCATATTCCGCTTGTCTTTTGGTGAAGGGAAATAGGAAATCGGGGCGAACGTTTTATTCAAAGTGTTGAGTCGTTGTTGAAGATGAATAGTGGTCATCGTGGTGTACGGAGGTCACTGTGGCAACGTTCCGGAATAAGGGAGGCCACAGTGGTAACGGACCAGACTGAGTAAGGGTTCCCGAAGGGAGCCGACTTGGAAAGGCCATAGTGGTGCCGGACCAAACGAAGAGTTGTCACAGCGGTACTTGTAATGGAGCAGACCAAGGGAGGATGCATGAGACAATTTACGGGTCTTTTGATACAATTCTCTAGACCGGTAATACACTGGTAACAGACCGGACTATCCGGGAGGTCAAAGTGGTAGCGAACCCATACTAAGGGAGGTCACAGTGGTAAATCTACAGGTCTTTTCTCTGTGTCGGTATTAGAATGGTTACGGATCAGGCCAAGGGAGGTCACAGTGGTAACTGACCAGACTAAGGGAGGTCACAGTGGTAACTGACCAGACTAAGGGAGGTATCAATGGTCAATTTACCGGACTACGGGAGGTCACAGTGGTCACTTTACCGGACTAAGGGAGGTCACAGTGGTAACTGACCAGGTTAAAGAAGGTCACTGTGGTAACTGAAAAAACTGCAAATAAAGTTACCCTAAAAATTAATTCGATACAGAAATCCCTAACTTTTTCCTTATTACTGTGAAATCAAGGACTTTGTTGGTTCAAGTGATTGGTCAAACCACCAAAATTAAATTCCCTCAACCGCGAAAATTTAATCCAGCCATAAAAAAACATTGTTTATACCGCAAATAGCTCTATTTCCTATGACCGATGCACACCCTTGAAAGTTTTTTTCTCCATTGTTCCGAAGATCACTGCGACGACAGTGATACAAAATGTTACTCTAAATTCGCTCTGTGTTGACGTGGTAGGAAGTCAATTCATTTCAGATTTTTGTAATTACTTAGAACAAAATGACAAGAAGTGGGCAGTAACCGTATTCAGTATCGAATTGACATTTGAACGACTGAAACTAATCAATTCCTCAAGTATATAAACTGGTCAACTCTTATGCCTTATAGTCAAGGCACAATCTGGAAATGTTAAAGATTAAATATAATGAATAAAAATAATTAAGGTCAAAGTTTGAAGCACTAATTATTGTCTTTAATCATTGATGCACTGTCAAATATCACTAATTTAAATTGTCCTCATACAGCTCTCGATCAAGGGAAATAATTTCTTTCATTGAAGTTAATTAGAAGCCAAAATGGCTCAATGTAAAGCGCTTTTCACAGCCTCCTTCGGTGTAGAACGTTAAGTAGGCAATCAGGGTTGAATTAGATACGGCACAAAGTCAACACTCAACTTCCGGTAAATTAGCCGCAGTTAAATACCGTCACGTGACCACTGGTTATTTGATGACGTAGGAGATAGGGATGACGATGACAGATGTCCAGCCAAGATTGATGAATGTCATTATCAATATGAGCATTATACATGGATTATGTCCCCGACACCAGGAAGCATTTCCTTCATACATGTACAAGCCATAATCCTTAGTGAGAGTGAAAGGAGTCTGTGACATACAAATGTACACATGTACTTCTCTATAATGGCAATTAGCGAGTATCAGAACGTTACACGGTGTAATGAACATGTAGCTTTAAATGTATTAATCTTGTTTCGGGTCGAATTATTTTATTAGGTTTTTATAAATAACGTTTACATATGAAGATACCCGTGTGTCAATATTCGTAAAAACACGTGTTCGAGTTAAAAGCTCACAGAAAAGTTGATAATGGTCTTCATCTCAGATGTCTGCCTAGTAAAATGTTTCTTTTGAAAATAAAAAAACATATGGGCGTATGGAGATGAAATTTTGTAGTACTGGAAAAAGCAGTCTAGATTATTCCAACTAATGAGGTTAATAGGGCCTTAGTGTGGAGGAAATCGAAGTAACCCCAAACCCAGCCCTCTACCCACCAATATACAAACCCAGACAAATATGTTTATATTTTTGTATATTTTACACAAGTTTTTTTAAATTATGAAAATAAATAGGGTGCATTACAAATGTTCAGATTCTTTAATGAAGTACTTGGGTA